GGCGAATTGCAAACCACGCCCCGTAAAACTCAAAAAAAGTGTTGTGAAGCCACCATTTTATTATCCTCGCATTAGCATTATTAGCATTAGCATTAGCCCAGCGCAGAAACGCAGAGAGACTAACTTATGGCAACACAAAATAAAACATGGGAGCGGTGGAGATGAGGAGGTGTCGGCGTTCTGGCGATTTACTCTGAAGGCTTCAATAGAAGCTGCTGGGAGTCCCATCAGCTTCTACTGAAGCCAGTTCCCAACTCCGGGGACTTCCGGCCGGGGACTCCGGGTGGCAGTATACGCCGTGAAGCTGTTTGCGGCCTGCCAGTAAACCCAAAGCAGAAGAAGAAGTAGTGACGTCAGCGGCTTCATTTGCCTAATCCACCCCCAGGGATTTATTCCAGTGTGAACGCGATCTGTACCTAGTTAATCAGAACTAAAGAGTTCTGATGAACTAAGTTCTCATGAACCTTTGTGGGAAAAGTACTGCGGTGTGAACGCGCCTATAGAAACAAATTGGCGGGGCGCACTTTGCACAGGCTAAAAGATTCCACGCGCTCCGCGCTCACATTGCGCTGGGCCTTAGCTGCTATGACTCCATCCTGGGGAAACACTGGAAACCTGAACATTCAGAACCAGGTACGAGCAATTTGACTTGGTGTCGTGGTGCAGACATAAAAGTAAAATTAAAAAACACAGATACAACTATTTTAAGAACAATATAATAACATTTAAAAAACAGGAAAAAAGATAGTAAAATAAAAAATAAAGCAGTATTTACATTGGAATAGAATATGGTCCCGTCCCCCTCCTCTGCTCCGGCCTCCAGCACTGTTCTCTCCATGGGACTCTCCTCTTCCTCTTCCTCTTCTTCCTCCTCCTCCTCCTCTTCCTCCTCCTCCTCCTCCTCCTCTCCCCCGTCCTCCATCACGTCCTCCAGACTTGTCTCCCAGGCCACCATCGAGCTCTTCCTCTTTGTCCTGCGCTGCTCCGCCTCATCCATGATCAGAGACACTTCCAGAGCCGACCTGTGGGGGGCGCCGTCTACCGGCGGCGGCCTGGAGCTCAGCAGCACCACCTGTAGAGAGAGAGGAGGGTGTTCAACACAAGCCCCCAGGAAGTGCGCCGGACTCTGAGGAAAATATTGGTCGTGGCCAAACGGCGGTACTACACTTCCGTATCAGACGCTGGCCCGGAAACACTTTTTTCCCATTGAGTTACATCGGGAAAGAGACGTCTGCAAATCGGTGGATCATTTTCAAACTAAATAAACCACCCAGTATGAACACTTGTAAGTACTTAAGTACTGTACTGCTCCACTCCCATTCAGGCAAATAGTGTTTTCGCTGAGCTGAACAGCCAATCAGAGATTTATTTTGCCGCGGCCGAAAAGACACAACGGGGCGGGACACACCAATCTGAGTAGGGCGACAGGACGCTCATCGAAGGCCAGACATCTATCGACAGCTATGATAAGACCTGAAACCTCGGACCCCTGGGAGTTCACATATGTCCACTTTCTGGTTTGAACCTTCTCAGATTTCTCAATTTGTACAGAAATGTAAGTTTTCTCCAAATGTGACTTTTTCTGCAAATTAGCTTTTTTCAGAATTTTCTAAAATGTTGACTTTTTTCAGATCTTTCTCCAAATTTAACTTTTTGAAAACTTTTTTCCAAATGTTCATTTTTTTAAAAGTTTTACCCGTACTCAGAATTTGACTTTTTTCTCCTCAGAATTCGACTTTTCAGAATTTTCCCAGTTTTAATTTTTACAGAACTTTCTTTTGGTGAGTTGCGCTGCTTATTCAGCGGTACATCTTATACCATCATCTAGAAAGAGTTGATAATCTGACCTTTTGGGCGAGAGCGGAGAACTTGAGGACGTTCAGCGTCTCGTCGAAACACTCGGAGTTCCTGCTGATGTTCACCACCATGGAGACGCGTCCGGCACCACAGAAGAAGAACTGCAGGAAGTGAGTCAGCTTCGACTCCCTGAAGGGAACGTGGTGCTGGATCCTGAAACAAACACACCAATTCATCATTACTCTCATCAATTACTGTGTGTGTGTACTTGGTGTGTTGGTTGACCCTCATGGCGCTGTGTGTGTGTGTGTGTGTGTGTGTGTGTGTGTGTGTGTGTGTGTGTGTGTGTGTCGTGCTGGTGTGAGCAGATCTTTAACTCTCTGTTGACCTTTGAACCCTGTCTGTCTGAAACTGCAGTGTGTGTGCAGATATTCCTCCTCTATCATGGCCCATATCTATTATTAGGTTAAATTACATTTATTTAATGCAGCCCAAATTGGGATTTTTATATTAGCACAGCAGCGGGTTAAAAGGCTTTACACATGTGTTAAAAATATAATAAAATACAAATAATTAGAATATGAAAAAAACAAACTGTGAATATATACATGTCAACAATAAAAAATATATGTATCAATAGAATACACAATATAAAATATGTTAACATGTATGCAAAGTAGCTGCAGTTTTGATTAAAGATTGAACTTCAAACTGAGTTAATTTATACGTTCGCTTTTATTATTTCTGTCCCAACAAGACGAATAAGAAATGTAAACTCGCGGATGTCCGAATAACTCTGCAGCTGATTTCTTTTTTCTCACACACATCCATTCATCCTGTGTGTCTCCGTCAGACCAAACACTGGAACAACACACAGGGGAAGTCTCATTCATCTGCAGGACCAGTGTTGACACAGTGTGTGTGTGTGTGTGTGTGTGTGTGTGTGTGTGTGTGTGTGTGTGTGTGTGTGTGTGTGTGTGTGTG